TTTATTTTTTCTTTGTCTTTTTACTACTATTTACTATGATTATATTGACTCAACTTCAAAGAGTCAAAAAACATTAATGAACTCAGAATACGATTAGAAACAAGGTCAAAATATATTTTGAAGAAAAGGAAAAAGTTGATAAATATAATGTACTCATCAGAAGAAGAGCAAACTGAAGATAATGGTAATTTGGCGAACAAATTTAGATAAGAAAATAAAAAACAAACATGGTAAACGAATGAGCTTTTTCATTTAACAAAAAATTTCGTTTTATTATTATTCACTTGTAAAGATCGATGAATAAAAAAAGAAATACATAGAGCAACTAATTTGTAAATAATTTTAACCATTCATTCTCCAGTTTTAGATAAAAATCAGTGAGCGTTTCTTCTCTTGCATGACATAGACACGGCTTAACACATGCAAGTGCATACACAAAATAGCAATGTGTAGAAAATTTGTTTTCGTTCTTTAAATTCGAGGTGTGGTTAAGAGTAATAAGAATTTTTTCATTCACTTAGTAATCAATGTAGTTTTACGAGAGTGCTCAGGATTATGTACTTAAGCAATCAATATGAGAGATTTTTGTAAGTGTTTAATGTAAAAAAATCATTTTGGTGTCAGAATTGAGAAAGAATTTCAATCATCTATATTCGTTTCTTTCAAAGTATCATTTTTGTTGAAACATTCGTATCAATAACTAATATTATTACAACATTTAGACCTATAAAATTAAAGTAATATGTTTCACACATGTCGAAATGCGCTAAATGAGCTTTGATAGTTTTGACCGCAATAAGAGTCGTATGATGCTGATTAACTTCACCAGTACATTTCAGCAATATATTTCTTACTAGCCGTTGTATCAGGATCTGTTCGTTTTCTACATAGAAAAAATAGAATAGACTTGTTAACAAACTTTTTGTCAAATTACAGTTGTTAAAGTCATCGTTAATATGATTTATCACGGTTATTGTCCACAACAATGAATATTACCAAATATAGGTGTATATCATGTCATGAGTGCAATTTAAACGAAATATATTCTTTCTAGGATAGTTTTTTGCAATGATATATAAATCTGTTTAAAAGAGTATCTCACACATTGGTTCGTCAATGGAATTATTTAAGAATCGTTCAGTGGCATTGCTAAAGGATTTGTGATAGGCCAATAGTTTTTCTTTGATATGAAACAAATTATGTCCATTTAGTCAACACTCCTAAATAGATCGTTTTTCAAACCATTGATCGTCATAAAAACAAATTATTTCGAGACAGTTCTACTGAGAAAAAATAGCGTTTTTGCTTGAATAGTATGTGTTGTCACGCATATCAGACCATGTTTGAATTTACGGATGACCAAGATGGCAATTGTTCTCTTAATCAAAGGGATCGTTGCAAATGTATCTTGAAGGATAGACCTGCGTGTGGCACGTGAGTGGAAACCAACAATTGTGAAATCAGTATTCTATGCCTCCTGAACAAATGAAAACTATACCAGAGCTCGGCTAGTCAAGAGTTTTGCAAGTTACAAGTCAAGTCAAGTCAAGTCAAATCAAATCACTAAAAAAATTTCAGCTCAAGTCAAGTGGTGGTCGGAAAATTTTTCGGCCAAGTCAAGGCAGGTTTGGTTAAAATTAGGTAGAACATTAAATTTGCAAGCACCTTTTGGGTGAGAGAGTTTTTATAGCCTCAGGAACTCTCTTCCATGGTAGAAAAAGTCTAATTTAAACGAAAATCGAAAAGTGCGAATTTTCGTCACATCCACAAAAAACACTCCGAAATTCACGGGAACTTACGTCACCATGCTTTTTTCTGAAAAACGCACTTTCATCACATGTGACGAAAGCAGCATTATAAATAGCAATGACTTACGACTATTAATTAGTAGAGCAAAAGCAGTCCTCGATTGGCGGAATAGACAGATACAGAATCGTGGAGATCCAGATCATGGTCACATTATAGTAAGAAACGCTTGGCAAAATTATGTTAAACAAATGGTTTCCTTTTAAATTCTATTGACTCATGTAATTCTAATTTGCGGTTGGCTGAGTAGCAAGTTACACCATAACAATACGAGAAAATTATAGTTGACATTTTAAAGTACCACAAATGTTTGATATAGTAGCACCAGAGCAAGCCGGTTTTAAATTTTTATTAACTTTTCTCGTTTTCGTTGATTCCAAAGAAAAAGATCCATAGAACCTTTTTGCTTCAAGAGTATGTAATTAAGTGAAATTTTGTTATTCATTTGAAAAGCCATACATAGACCTTAGAGAAGACACCGACAGTCGTTTTGTGATGAAAAATACCAGTAGTCACTTTTTCAGGAGAACTACAATATATGTTGTGGAATTCTCGTTAATAAACATTATAGTGACTTAGTTGAGTTCACTGAGTTTGACAAGAAAATTAAAACTCAGAGTCTTTTTGACAAAATTCCCTAGCAAATAATCAATCTATCGCGATTGTCGGACGGATTAGTAATCTATTTAACAAAAAATGTAGTTTTGTGCCTTTAATGGTATAACAGGCGCAATTTTTTGCATTATTACAGCTAGGTATGCACCAGTTAAAAACTGCTGTTGGAGCTTCCACGAAAACTGTTATAAATCACCTGTAAGAAAATTTCTCCGAGTCGCGTGTTTTAGCTTGTGCATGCCTAATTCTTCTCATAAGTTTTCCTTGTCTTCGCCCAGGTACCCATTGGAACTTTTAAATAACTTTAAATTAATGTACACTAATTTCTGACTCAAAAAACGATGGAAAATTACTTCACATGAATTTAAGAGGCCAAATTAATTTAAATACGTTTGTAAGAAATTAGTTTACATCAATTTCACAGTGAAAATGAACTGGAATTAATTTCTAGGTTAAAATGTAGTTTTAGCAATCGTCGTCTAATCTTTTCAATGTAATTGTCAAATTTTCTCTCTGCTATAAATAATGGTGTTGCTAATTTTGGACTGTTAACACATGTAGTAGATGAAGTGTCTTTAGAACAGTTATCAGAGGAAATAGATTGTCCTTCTTTTGGATCAGGCATCGGTGATTCCTGTGTAATAAATGTACATGTCTCCTGATGTTCTTGAAGTAATCCATCAGATTTTTGCAGACTAGAATCAGAAGAAAAAGGATCAAGGAAAGCGAGTTTCTGTCCAGGTCGAACATAACTCCATCGCGGTGTCAGATTAGCAATCATAACACGAGCGGTATTCTTGTCAACAGTAACGATACTGTTGGCGAGTGAAATTCGAGAACTCGCAGAAGTGGTGGTCGCTTCCCACTTTTGTCCACTAATATCCAACGGTGTTTGTACCGTGATGAAAACTTGATGAAAAGGTGGAATTTTTTTTTTATGAACAGCGTAGACGGGTATGTCCAAGCGACCGGCCTGCTGAAGATCAGTAGCTAGCAGAAATTTAGGCAACGGTTTATCTCTCAATCAGCATTTTCCATCTTGTACATCTAAAACTAAACCTATTTCGAACATAAAATCGGTTCCCAACAAGACTCTTTGATTGAATTGAACTCTGTCCATTTTAATCGTTCAAATCCATCAGCGGCAGATGGTAATAGAGAACCGCCAGGACCATGTCCAATTTGTCGTAAAAATGGACACTGGAGAAGAGATTGCAGAGTTCCTTGCACTATTTGCAGAAGAACTGGACACAACGCAAATTATTGTTTCCAACAAAGAAGCAATTCTCAGCGTAGTCCATCTGCATCAGGCGACGATGCAGAATCGACAATAGGTCGAGAGACCTCTTCTCCATCACGACCGGGCTTTAGAAGCCGCGATAAGGATTTCAAGGCTTCAATTTTTCCCTGTTCTTTGGACTGTTCCATTGAGGACTTGTGAATAGTATGGGATGTTAGCTTATCCTCAATCAGCTGCTCCCTTTTCAGTTTAAATGATTAGGATTCTGTAGATTTTGTGAATCACCGCCGGAAAAAGTAGGTGCGGCAGATGGACTACGCTGAGAATTGCTTCTTTGTTGGAAACAATAATTTGCGTTGTGTCCAGTTCTTCTGCAAATAGTGCAAGGAACTCTGCAATCTCTTCTCCAGTGTCCATTTTTACGACAAATTGGACATGGTCCTGGCGGTTCTCTATTACCATCTGCCGCTGATGAATTTGAACGATTAAAATGGACAGAGTTATCAGAAGGAAAAGGCAGACAAGAACTGTTATTGTTATTATTCGGACCTCCGCTATTATTATTATTATTATTTCGTCTATAAAAATTTGTTTGCCGATTTTGAGGACAAGCTGAACCATTTCCATCGTTATCAGTTGGAAAAACAGGAGATTTAGCTGTCCGAGTCTCTTGACCAGAAGAATTTGTTGATGGAGAAGAAGGTGCGTCAAGATTAGCAACAACAACTGTTCTCTCTGGTGTTTTCAATCGCACCAGCTGCCGAGTAACGATTTCGTTAATTCCTGCGGATTTCCTTCATCCTTATCACAATCAAAATTCGTAGAAATCCATCTATTAAGCAGTGATCTCTGGATTTCTTCCTTTCTTCGATACAATAACTGTAGCTCAGCTTCTTCGACGTTTTTGAGTATCTCGTCCAAGGACATCGTTGCCGGATCACCCTTCATCCACAGAACAAGTTCTGGTCTCAATTTTCGGAGAAAGTATTTTTTTTAGTAAATTTTCGTTGGTTTTTGGATTAATTTCCAAATTTAGTCCCAAATATCTTTGATGGAAATCAGCTGCTGTTTCATTTTCTTTTTGAACGCAACGGCTGCGTTCAATTTTCATCGCCTCTATCCTTTCAGGACTACGAAAACGAGATAAGAACAACTTTTTAAACTCATGCCACGTATTCGACAAATGATGACCTTGGGAAAGCTGTAAATACCAATCACCAGCTGCACCTGTGAGCCAATTACTAATATTTCGCAGTAGTTGCGAATCACCAGCCCGAAATAACGTTCGCATTTTCTGTTGGTACTCATGCAAAAACTTATTAGGTTGCTCATTCGCTTTACCACTAAAACGAGCAATTGAATCATTAACGGTAACTTGCAAAGTTGCCGGTGAAGTGAGAACAGTTGATCGTGAAGAAGAAGAATTAGAAAATTTTCTTTTAGGTTTTCTTTTTCTTCGGGATTCTGAAGTTATCTCTTTCCCACCGTAATACGAATCATCATCATCACCGCTACTTGAAAAAGAAGGAGCGCTTTGTTTTCGATGATGTTTCCTATTTTTCAAAGTTTTACTTTTCTTGTGAACTTCTAAAAATTCACTTTTATCTGAATGCATAGCGTCACTTCCTGTTAAGGAACTATTTGAAGATGATAAGGATGGTGCAGAAGATTTCTGATGGTGATTTTTCCTAGATTTTTGTTTTCTTTTTCTTTTAGACTTAAGATCAACTTCTGTTCTAAGAGAAGAAATAGATTGATCAGGAGATGGTGACCTTCTCTGCTGTTTCTGCGACTTAACAGGAACTTTCTTTCTCGTCTTTCGTTCTGTAGCAGGTGTGGATCCTTTGACAGAGATTTTAACAGATGTATTAAATGGTAAAATCTCAATTTGCGTGCCAGAATCACTTTTGGCAATGGAAATTGCGTACGATTGATTTTTAGCTGTGTAACAAGAAGAACACTCATGTAATGGTACTAATTTCTGTTCCTTACTTTCGCTTGGTAGTGGTAGCAAACAAGCATGCCGCGAGAGATCAGAGTCGTAAACAGACAACAGCCGTGCGGGCAAAGATGCGGTTGAAACTTGAGCTTTAGGAGCTCCAGGGATTACGGTAATAACATCTCCAGAAGCTGCTGTCAACGTATTAGCCGACAATATCTGTGTTCGAGATGAGCTTTGTTGCTTATCCATAACTCTAATTATAGCCTCTGTTTGCATTTCCAAAGCTTCCTTTGCCTGCTCCTTCTGTAGTTTCATAGATTCCAACATATGCATATTCTGCATTTTCACAGTTTCGAGCAACAATGCGTTAACACCAACTTCACCGCCAGCGACAGAAAGATTAGGTGTAGCACGCGATGTATTAGATCTGATAGATCTGCCGCGAGACAAAACAGAGACCACTGATGGAATTACAGAAGTTTTAGGTTTTGCTTTTACAAAAACCTTCGGTGGTACTTGTTCTAAAGATGAAGCATCTCTGTCGGTAGAACTACTCAAACGCGGAGCTGCTGCTACCTTCTTATCTTTATCTATCTGAATATCTTGGGCGTGTCAACAAGGAGCTATTGCCACCCCTGGGCGTGCCAACAAGGAGGTATTGCCACGCCCGGGCGTGTCAACAAGGAGCTATTGCCACGCCCGGTCGTGTCAACAACGAGCTATTGCCACGCCCGGGCGTGTCAACAAGAAGCTATTGCCACGCTCGGTCGTGTCAACAACGAGCTATTGCCACGCCCGGGCGTGTCAACAAGGTGCTAAGATGAAGAAATCTTCTGAATATTTTCCTTGAGGTTCATAGCAAGCAGTTTTATACATTTTCACAGACTAACTGAGTATAACTATAAATAATATTTTGCTTTTTTCTTTCTCTAATTTTCTTTTATACCCAATTCTTGAAAATGAGCCTGCAGATTTATCTTCATTAGAAAATGATATTTATATAGTCTTCTCTGTTGAGATTCATACCTATATTTCACTTTTATCAAAAAAT